CTTCACGTAATAATTCATTTACAGAGTCTGATCAATTTTCAGACAGCTCTTCTCAATATTCCCTGGATTCTATAAATTCAATGTATGAGGCTACTGAATTAACTAGCTCCTCACAGGAACCCAGAGAAACAAGTGAAGCTGCAGATGAAACTTTTAGTGAAGCTGCAATAATCAGTGAATCCGAACCAGAAAATGATAAAGCTGAAGCTGCAGCAGCAGCCGAAGCTGTAATTAAAGCTGAGGCTAAGCAAGAAGCCTTAAGCAACACAAGTAATAGTCATAATTACTCACACCAGCCTTCTAGAGTAAGTGCTAACAATGAGAAGTCTGTTATAAACCTTGTGCACCAATTACTAGATTTATCTCCACCAGAACAATCAGTTGACTCTTTACTAGCCTTTAGTTTTCAGCTTGAGTCAAATTCAAATGTTAACTTGTCAAATGTTAAATTCCTTCAGTAAAGAGGTGGATCACCCAACTGCTGAGTGGATGACTAAAATTATCATCCAGAGAAAATTGTCTTGTAACACACTCAATAAATTATATTTATACCAGAATGGTAATGTCCTGTTAATGCAGGATATATTTGCAGGTTTGCGCAATATGAGCAATCAATCAGCAAACCAGGCATTTAATGCCTCTTCTGAATGCACCGAAACCTTACCCCACATCCGTTTCCTTACATGAAACTCCTAAAGCGACACTGTCACTAGGTAACAAGGGTACTAATAGTCGATGAAATAACAATAGGTCAAACACTGATTCATCAGTAAAACCCAAGAGCCCCACAGGTGCTCCTAAGGGACCTAATAGTCCAAAGAGCCCAGTAATTGCTCCTCAGAGTACACTAAGTACTCCCAAGAGAATAAATAACAAGCAAATGCAAGCAGCCAAACCATCACAACCTGCAGTTACAGTTTCACCTAAACCGGTAACCCCTAAACGAACTGTAGGTTGGGGATCATGTTTGTTTTGCAAACATGATCATGTTTGTTTTGCAAACTTGATCGCGAAGCACCCGGAACCCCCACATCATCACCCGAAGCTCCACCTGCATTGAAGTCCTCCACATCAGCCCAAGCAGTAGAAGAACGCCTGGAACACTTGGGCACCAGCCGTACATCCTCACAGCCGGAGGCGGACCCAGAACCACAGGCCTCACAGACCGTGCGAACCGATGTTCGTCGCAGTACGGCAGCAGCCTCAACCACAGGGGGAACTGGGCCGCACACAACAGGACGGTCCACAACCCCCCCAGCACCCAACACAGCCGTAACACCCAGCGAGGGCGCAGGTCCAGGCGCATCAGCAGGAGACGAGGAAGATGAAGACGATTTGCAGAGACCATCCGGAAGACCCTCGGGAGCAACTGGCACAGCGAATTGACCAGTGACAGGAGCCACCGGAACACCCGGAGAAGGGACAACAACCACCGGGGGCACGTCGTGTGACGCAGGGGAGGCCGCATCAGCAGCAAACGGAACCTGCCCCTCTTCATCTCCGGAATCCACACCCTGAGGGAGCGGCGGGAAATCCTCTTCCTGGAACAAGTTAACAGGTGCAGCAGGGGCCTCAGAGCACCCGGCAGCCTGATGCCCTAACTGGCCACATCGGAAACAGGTATGGGGCTGCCGGGCATAATACACCCGAACGTAGTAACCCAGCAGCTGGACAGAAGATGGGATATCCGACCGCAGGCGCATACCTAAGGTACAGATGTTCGTCCGCTTCCCAGCATACTTCCCTGAGGAAAGCGTGTTCACCTGCACACTTGTAACACGGGGAGGGAGTTCTCGAATGATCTTTCCTCCTTTTTCTCCCTCTACCCGTATTCTTACTTTTTATTCTCTACAAGGGACTCCAAAACTTTTACTAAAGCCGACTCCACGCCACGTGGTCCTAAGACGATTGACCGACTTAGGATTCTACAACCCGTATGACGTGACCTAGGCTTTGAGCTAAACCCTAGAGTCGCCTCCGCCGCCACCACCAGACCAGTAACACTGAGCAATGATCTAGGTCCGGATTGATCATGCTAATTAATCAACCTTGGGGCTTGATCCCCACTATAACCGATGACCTTGAGTGTGGAATTAATTACACGGGAATGATGAATTCCGATTCGATGTTAGAATCGGCGCCCAATTCAACTCTGCCTCGTGTGGACCACGTGACCAGGACAATTTCACATAAATATAACATACACATGGAAATAATAAAAATGCAGAATATTAACTAATTAATTTATTAAAAGAAAAACTAAAACAAAATCTAAATAGTTATCACTCCCTACTTGACCTGAACGGCAATGAATTGACAATCCCTATAAGAACTCATAAAGCAACTCTACCTTGGGCGACCAGCTCAGATGTTGGGGCTGGTCTTGGGGGAGAGGTAAGATGGTTGACCTCTCCCAGTTAATCTCGAGTCCACACTGATCTCTCCTCTCTCTGATGCTCCAGGAGCCCAGAGCAGAGTATTGTTCCGCATAGTCTAAGTTTTTACCAAGTTACTAGCAAGGCTTAAGTTTAACAATTAACCTCTGTTTGTACTGAATTGATCCAGACTGGTTGAATTATTTTACTGAAATTAAATTACACAAGCATCTAACGGCAGAGCTGTTCCCGATCCCAAAAATGGTTATTTGAACTTTGAGAAATAGTGGACATGTCAACTCTGATGACCTATGACCGCCGGTCACTCCGCCTTACAACTTAGATCTGATTCGTGACGTCACTGATGGTGACTTAACTCAATAATTAGAATACTCTTGATATTGTACCCAGTAATATTATACAATACAATTTTAATACAAAATGAATAAAGGCTAATTTCTCTAAATAAGTGAATACTATAGAATGGTTCATTATACGAAGCTATGAACAAGGCATCGATTATTTTCACCGCGAATTCCCTGGGGTCAGGTCCCGGGTCACCACGCGGGTTCAGCTTCCCATTCTCCCTTGTAGATAAAACATTCTGGAAAATTCTTACAACCAGCCTAGTTTGTTACACACTGATGACTACACCATACCTCCCGAAGAAGCACCGGAGAAGGTCTTCAGGGAACTCCAGGGGCGCACCGTGTACACTGACATAAGTCAGGGCACCACTGCGGTCCGAGACCGCAACAGAGCATGCACCATACGGCAACGAACGCCCTTCGTACCGACGGAGGAAGTCCTGATACTCCTCCTCCCTCACGAACTTGATAATCACCCGGTGGGCCATAACAAGCTCAACTCCGTAGACAGCCTCCACCGGGACACGAAGCATGCAGCACATCACCAACTCAATGGCTGGATAACCAGCCTTACACGAGAAACTCCAGTCCCACGGAATTCACACGCAGAACAGGAGGAATTGGAAGGCACCCTATGTCAGAACTGCCACGTCAGCACGCAGCCAGGCAGGCAACAACCACGTGTCTCAAATCACATAATGTTAATAGCTGTGACACCCCACTGAACACCTGCAATAGGTGTAGAAGGGGCAAGCATCATGCTGCACTGTGCAAATTTGTCAAGAAAAATTATGTCAATCCTAAAAAACGGAGGTAGAGAATCTGCACCAGTACAGTGCTGCAAGGTGCGAGATGTGTACAGTGTAATTTGGTGAGTTGCGTGGTGACCGCCGGCCAGGTCGGACGTTCCTGAGGTCTCTCCGGTCCTGGCTAGTGTTTACGTTGGGTGATTGCCTGTTTGCCCTGCTGGTGGTGGTTTGCCACTGACAGGGTGACGTTCGACTTAGCCATGGGGACGTCTCGCCCTCCAATGAAGAGAACGTTGTTGGCTGGTCTCGTGTTTACGGTGCCGGTGGACCATTGGTTGGTTGGTGTCGCCCTGGTGGACGTGCTACATGTACAGCTGTCTGTCCTGGTGGGCATCCAGCTGCTTCAGGGCCACCGTGCTGTGGTCAAGTTCCGCCTCCAGGCTGCCTTTCAGGCGTTTCTCGAGCGGTGTGAGGGGCGTGTTTACCCTCTCCCTGATAATGCTGCCTCCGTTAAGGTGGTAAATCTTAGTGTCACCTTGACGTCTGTGGCGGTGCATGGTGCCCCCTTCGAATTTCAGGACGACTTTTTAATCTCCTGTTTTGAACGATTTGGGACAGTGTTAAGTGTTCGTTGGAACAAGGTCGTTGCCGGGCACTGTGTTGGTATGCTTGACAGCTCCCGCACCCTGACGATGTCGCTGAAGTGTAGTGTACCGTCGTCGATGTCCGTGTTGGGTTTCACGCTCCGCTGCCAGTACCGGGGTCAACCGCGCACCTGTTATCGGTGTGGTCACGAGGGTCATCTGGCTGCGACATGGGAGCAACTGGTCGGGTGCATGTTCTTCGTGCGGAGGATTTTCGCCCCTGTTGCGTTCGGACGGAGTGGGTGCTGTGCCTGAGGCGCCTGATTGCCTGTCTGCTGCTCCGCCTGTTGACGCGAGTTCTACGGAGACACGTCAGGTGACTGCTGTGGCCCCTGGGGTTGTTGAGCCGGTGTGTGTGGGTGTCGGGCCGTCGCCTGCGCTGCGTGTAGTGAAGGGTGTCCCGGTAGAGGTCCATGTCCCGCCCCCGCCTGTGGATGTGATACCGGCTCCCGGGGACGCGGGTTCATTGTTACCACTGGTAACAATGACTACACCACTGGTAACAAAGACTACACCACTGGTAATGAAGACTACACCACTGGTATTGAACACTACACCACAGTTAATGAAGACTACAACACTGGTAACAAAGACTACACTACTGGTAACAAAGACTACACCAATGGTAATGAAGACTACACCACTGGTAACAAAGACTACACCACTGGTAATTAAGACTACACCACTGTCATGAAGACAACAACACTGGTAATGAAGACTACACCACTGGTAACAATGACTACACCACTGGTAACAAAGACTACACTAATGGTAACAAAGACTACACAACTGGTAATGAAGACTACACCACTGGTAATGAGCACTACACTACTGTTAATGAAGACTAAAACACTGGTTACAAAGACTACACCACTGGTAACAAAGACTACACCACTGGTAATGATGACTTCACCACTGGTAATGAAGATTTCAACACTGGTAATGAAGACTACAACACTGGTAATAAAGACTACACCACTGGTAACAAAGACTACACCTTTGGTAATGAAGACTTCACCACAGGTCATGAAGACTACAACACTGGTAATGAAGACTACAACATTGGTAATGAAGACTACAACACTGGTAACAGAGACTACACCTCTGGTAATGAAGACTTCACCTATGGTAATAAAGACTACACCACTGGTAACAAAGACTTCACCTTTGGTAATGAAGATTTCAACACTAGTAACAAAGACTACAACACTGGTAACAAAGACTACACCACAGGTAATAATGACTACACTGGTAATGAAGACTATACCACTGGTAACAAAGACTACACCACTGGTAATGAAGACTACAACACTGGTAACAAAGACTACAACACTGGAAACAAAGATTACACCACTGGTAATGATGAATACAACGCTGGTAACAAAGACTACACCACTGGTAACAAAGACTACACCACTAGTAATGAAGACTACACCACTGGTAACAAAGACTACACCACTGGTAATGAAGACTACACCACTGGTAACAAAGACTACAGCACTGGTAATGAAGACTACAACACTGGTAATGAAGACTACAACATTGGTAATGAAGACTACAACACTGGTAATGAAGACTACACCACTGATAACAAAGACTACACCACCGGTAATGAAGACTTCACCACTGGTAATGAAGACTACAACACTGGTAATGAAGACTACAACACTGGTAACAAAGACTACACCACTGGTAATGAAGACTACACCACTGGTAACGAAGGCTACACCACTGGAAATGAAGACTACACCACTGGTAACGAAGGCTACACCACTGGTAATGAAGACTACACCACTGGTAATGGAGACTACACCACTGGTAACAAAGACTACACCACTGGTAATGAAGACTACAACACTGGAAATGAAGACTACAACACTGGTAACAAAGACTACACCACTGGTCAACAAGACTACACCACTGGTAACCAAGACTTCACCACTGGTTATGAAGACTACAACACTGGTAATGAAGACTACAACACTGGTAACAAAGACTACACCACTGGTAATGAAGACTACAACACTGGTAATGAAGACTACAACACTGGTAACAAAGACTACACCACTGGTCAACGAGACTACACCACTGGTAACCAAGACTTCACCACTGGTTATGAAGACTACAACACTGGTAATGAAGACTACAACACTGGCAATGAAGACTACAACACTGGTAACAAAGACTACACCACTGGTAGCAAAGAGTACTGCACTGGTAATGAAGATTACAGCACTGGTAATGAAGACTACACCACTGGTAACGAAGGCTACACCACTGGTAATGAAGACAACACCACTGGTAATGAAGACTACACCACTGGTAACGAAGGCTACACCACTGGTAATGAAGACTACAACACTGGTAATGAAGACATCACCACTGGTCAACAAGACTACACAAATGGTAACCAAGACTTCACCACTGGTTATGAAGACTACAACACTGGTAATGAAGACTACAACACTGGTAATGAAGACTACACCACTGGTAACGAAGGCTACACCGCTGGTAATGAAGACTAAACCACTGGTAATGAAGACTACGCCACTGGTAATGGAGACTACACCACTGGTAACAAAGACTACACCACTGGTTATGAAGAGTACACCACTGGTAACAAAGACTACACCAACGGTAACAAAGACTACACCACTGGTAACAAAGACTACGCCACTGGTAACAAAGACTACACCATTGGTAACAAAGACTACACCACTGGTAACAAAGACTAAACCACTGGTAACAAAGACTACACCACTGGTTATGAAGAGTACACCACTGGTAACAAAGACTACACCACCGGTAACAAAGACTACACCACTGGTAACAAAGACTACGCCACTGGTAACAAAGACTACGCCACTGTAACAAAGACTACACCACTGGTAACAAAGACTACGCCACTGGTAATAAAGACTAAACCACTGGTAACAAAGACTACACCACTGGTAACAAAGACTACACCACTGGTAATAAAGACTAAACCACTGGTAACAAAGACTATGCCACTGGTAACAAAGACTACACCACTGGTAACAAAGACTACACCACTGGTAACAAAGACTACACCACTGGTAACAAAGACTACGCCACTGGTAACAAAGACTACACCACTGGTAACAAAGACTACACCACTGGTAACAAAGACTACGCCACTGGTTATGAAGAGTACACCACTGGTAACAAAGACTACACCACTGGTAACAAAGACTACACCACTGGTTATGAAGAGTACACCACTGGTAACAAAGACTACACCACTGGTAACAAAGACTACACCACTGGTTATGAAGAGTACACCACTGGTAACAAAGACTACACCACCGGTAACAAAGACTACACCACTGGTAACAAAGACTATGCCACTGGTAACAAAGACTACACCACTGGTAACAAAGACTACACCACTGGTAACAAAGACTACACCACTGGTAACAAAGACTACGCCACTGGTAACAAAGACTACACCACTGGTAACAAAGACTACACCACTGGTAACAAAGACTACGCCACTGGTAACAAAGACTACGCCACTGGTTATGAAGAGTACACCACTGGTAACAAAGACTACACCACTGGTAACAAAGACTACACCACTGGTTATGAAGAGTACACCACTGGTAACAAAGACTACACCACCGGTAACAAAGACTACACCACTGGTAACAAAGACTATGCCACTGGTAACAAAGACTACACCACTGGTAACAAAGACTACACCACTGGTAACAAAGACTACACCACTGGTAACAAAGACTACGCCACTGGTAACAAAGACTACACCACTGGTAACAAAGACTACACCACTGGTAACAAAGACTACGCCACTGGTAACAAAGACTACGCCACTGGTTATGAAGAGTACACCACTGGTAACAAAGACTACACCACCGGTAACAAAGACTACACCACTGGTAACAAAGACTATGCCACTGGTAACAAAGACTACACCACTGGTAACAAAGACTACACCACTGGTAACAAAGACTACGCCACTGGTAACAAAGACTACGCCACTGGTAACAAAGACTACGCCACTGGTAATGAAGACTACACCACTGGTAACAAAGACTACGCCACTGGTAACAAAGACTACGCCACTGGTAACAAAGACTACGCCACTGGTAATGAAGACTACACCACTGGTAATGAAGACTACAACACTGGTCAGGAGGACAACTGTTAGAAACTGTGAGAAATATTGCCACATAAACCCCAGGTTCCCGGATGTGTGAGGACTGACCCAGTTGTCAGTCACCTCTTCCTTACCTGCTTCTCAGGAATATATTATTTATACTGATTAATTATTTAAACAGATTTAAGTGATATTTAATGTTTGCGCATTTTGGCTGAAGTGTCACTTTTTTAGCGTTAATCCTACAGGCGGAATTATTGTGCATTATACACGCTCCTGTATATTCCTGCAAAGGAGTATACTGGAATGTGTCCTGGGTATATTTAGTTCGTGTGGAAGGTGTGTGTGAAGACGCTGGTGAATGTGCGTGTATTAGCTGACATTTGCTGACATTGGGTGTACACTACGCTTTACTCCTCACAAACTGTGCACGGCATTCATGGATTATTCTGGATTGATCTGGGTATTTTGTACCCAGTTCATCATCCTATTGATTGTTCCACCCATGTTGTGTAGTGTGTTGGTCCCTCCCATGTTGTGTAGTGTGTTGTTCCTCCCATGTTGTGTAGTGTGTTGGTCCCTCCCATGTTGTGTGGTGTGTTGGTCCCTCCCATGTTGTGTGGTGTGTTGGTCCCTCCCATGTTGTGTGGTGTGTTGGTCCCTCCCATGTTGTGTGGTGTGTTGGTCCCTCCCATGTTGTGTGGTGTGTTGGTCCCTCCCATGTTGTGTAGTGTGTTGGTCCCTCCCATGTTGTGTGGTGTGTTGGTCCCTCCCATGTTGTGTGGTGTATTGGTCCCTCCCATGTTGTGTGGTGTGTTGGTCCCTCCCATGTTGTGTGGTGTGTTGGTCCCTCCCATGTTGTGTGGTGTGTTGGTCCCTCCCATGTTGTGTGGTGTGTTGGTCCCTCCCATGTTGTGTAGTGTGTTGGTCCCTCCCATGTTGTGTAGTGTGTTGTTCCCTCCCATGTTGTGTGGTGTGTTGGTCCCTCCCATGTTGTGTAGTGTGTTGGTGCCTCCCATGTTGTGTGGTGTGTTGGTCCCTCCCATGTTGTGTGGTGTGTTGGTCCCTCCCATGTTGTGTAGTGTGTTGGTCCCTCCCATGTTGTGTAGTGTGTTGTTCCCTCCCATGTTGTATGGTGTGTTGGTCCCTCCCATGTTGTGTAGTGTGTTGGTCCCTCCCATGTTGTGTGGTGTGTTGGTCCCTCCCATGTTGTGTGGTGTGTTGGTCCCTCCCATGTTGTGTAGTGTGTTGGTGCCTCCCATGTTGTGTGGTGTGTTGGTCCCTCCCATGTTGTGTGGTGTGTTGGTCCCTCCCATGTTGTGTAGTGTGTTGGTCCCTCCCATGTTGTGTAGTGTGTTGTTCCCTCCCATGTTGTATGGTGTGTTGGTCCCTCCCATGTTGTGTGGTGTGTTGGTCCCTCTCATGTTGTGTAGTGTGTTGGTCCCTCCCATGTTGTGTAGTGTGTTGTTCCCTCCCATGTTGTATAGTGTGCTGTTCAGTAGTGTAAAATGAGACAAATGGTGAATTGATTTTCAGAAACGGTTGGGCACTTCCATGCCGACTCGACCCCGGCGGGCCAAATCGTGCAAAAAACTTTTCAAGCGGTCGAGTCAGGACGCGCTCGGCGCGCACGTGGCTGGCTGGCGGGGTGGGGTGGTGGTCCCTTCCCCCCAGGGGTCCCCGGGACCCACCTCCCAGGGTGCGCCTGAGCAACTCGTGCCCTATCCTAACCTGTTTTTTTACTTTTTGTCCCGTATGTTTATTATGAGTATTTGGCATCAAGTTGGGGGTCCCTACTTATGAAAGGTACAGAGGATGAATGTTCAATAGATTAAAACCAAAAAATACACTGGTGGAAGGAATATACAAGTTTTTTGGAGTATTTTAATGGCACTAGTATATGTGTGTGCGTGTGTTTTTATGTAAATACAATATATCTGTTTTTTTTTAATTCCTGCTGAGAAGCGTATCTGAAATAAAGGGTTTGTCTTTACATTTGCTAAGGTTTCAATAATCAGGTAAAAAAATAAATGAGAACAAGACTCGAGTTATATTTTGCATCAGTTACCCCAGATATATGTCCCATTTTCTCTAGATTCCGTTTCACAGAAAACATCTTCACTGGCGGGCCATTCCCGTTTTCGTCTGGGGGGGGGGGGGAACTAAGATAATTGACAGAAAAAAAATATATATGCAAGTTCCATTTTATTTCCAAACACTGGTTAGTTTGATTATTAAGATCAGGAGTTTGCTTATTATTAATATCGGGAAACAACAACGTATTATTTCATGTTTTTTTCATGCAAACATATGGAAACAAGTATTTATGATTAATTTCAGAGGAAAGAACATTATCAATTATTTTTTCATAGGAAAGAGCAACATCAGAAAGGACATAATTCATTGGTACGTTTGTTCAGTATTTCCCCCACCAGTAAATTAAAAACATTATTTATTTTCATCGTTATTTTTTTTTATTTAACAAAAAACTACAACAATACATAACATTACAATACACATAACTGCAATAATATATGGCACTACAATACATGCAATTTAATTAAGTTTGCGTATGACGCCCGAGGGCAATAAAGCTGCTTCGTGCATGGTTGGCGTATCCAAGCTCATGGTTGGAGTGGGCTCTACATAGTTGGGCTCATAGAATTTTCTCTGCCCACACTGGAAGAAGTCCAAGACCTCATTATCGAATCCCTCCACCGGCTCGAACTGCGTTGTAAAAATATCAATCGTAACCAGCCCCAACTCTTCCATGGCTAACGATTGATTTTCATTAAAGAGTTCCACGCGGCGTTTAAGGTCTGTGAAGACAATATGTCTTCGGTGCCATAGGGGATACGCGGCACACCGTCGCCAATTTCTGGGGGGTCTGCCGGACATCACGTCTTCACTCTCGCTAATTTGGGTAACTGCCTCCCGCGGGCGGGTAGCTGGGAGAGGCGGGTTGGGGCGTCTTGTTGGAGGTACATATCCCGAGGTAGATGGCTGGGTGGAAGCCTCGCGGTTGCTCGACCTCTTATCATATGGGGTCGTCATCGTCCTCTTGCGTCGGCCCTGCGGAGATAGCCTAGTCCGATGGGGCCCCGGTGCGGGCCGTTCCCAGGTGATTTTACACTCTTCCGCAGGGCAACTTGTTGGCTTTGCAATGTCTTTCATCAAAGAGTCTGTTGAAGCTTTCGTTTTCAGAGCCATCTCTCCACTCTTCGCCGCCTTCTTAGCTTTGGGCTCTGTTGTTGTTGCCGTTGTTGTTGTTGCTGTTCTTGTTGCTGCCATTGTAGTTGTTGCTGTTCTTGTTGTTGTTGCCGTTGTTGGGAATGCCCCTGGCCCCGCCAGGGTCAGCACAGCAGCCATTGCTACCACCGGCGAATCCATAGAACCAACAACAAGGCGGGCAGTGGGGCTGGGCTCTGGTGCCGGCAGGGGCATAGGCGCTGTCGGCTTGGGGTGCATAGTGGCCACAACGACATCTGGCACTGGCCCCGGTTTCTTCGTAGTCTCAGGCAAGGTCGTAGGCGCAGTTGATGAAGTTTTGGGGGCTTGGCACATCGGCCGAACATTGGCAACGCCACTGCTCTTCAATATATCCGCTACATCAAAGGACATCATCCCCCCTGGTAGGATGAGAGCAGTCCCAAAGAGGAAATTGATCCCACCAGTCACCTCAATTTTTGAGCAGCCGTTCAACAATTCTACAAATAAAAAAAAAATCATTAATAAATTTTATATTCACCAACAAGAAACATAAACACACACACTCGCCCGCACGTTCTCACCTATATCAGAGTTATGTTAAAAAAAATCACCACGGGCGAATTCCTTTTTCAACACTTCGCTTGTGGGCTTCTAATGATGACCAGGACCCAGGGCGTTCGTCGGTGGGCAAGTTTAACTCAATGGGCCTTAGGACTGAGCTTATATATATACTCCTAAAACCTCTACCTATTCACCCCCCCCCCCCTCTGGCAAGCTAGGTCACCTGCTCACACAGGTTATTCCACGTCACCTGGGAATCATCTCCCAGGCAAAATGTTGTTTGACAGAGCGGCATATTCAGGTTATCATTCGTAAATTTCACAACCAAAGCGTCATTTTTGCTGTGTTGTTCATATTTAAAATCCTGCACAAATTTCCGAAGCGCTTTTCCCACCCCTAGATGGGATAAATAGTAGGTAAAGTATAACGCATAGTTCCCGCAGAAATAAGTCTCCAACTGCTGTAATCTGTCATTGAATATGTGCAAATCATATTTTTCAAAGCTGCTCAATATAACCTTAAAATAATTCGAATGTTTCAATTCTCGGGTTTCTAAAACTATCCAGAATGATAATTTCTGTCTTAGTCATTGCTTTGGCTATACAAAATGTAACCAATGACCCATTGTATCTACAGATGCTGTGTCTAGTGTATTAATTATAATTACCACAGGATGGTCATAGATCTTTTTCAAAAATTTTCTTGCATCATTGTCGAGATAACATCCCAGATATTGCACCTCCCGACCCAACACCCCGTTCAGCGCTTCGTTAATTTCAAGACAATTCATAGCTTTACGCTCTCGTATCACAGACTATTCGGCGTTCTGCATTAATTTTCAGGATGCCAGTGGTGCCGCCATAAAGCAAAATTACTTTATTTCCCACCACAGGTATTTTAAATTCTAAACTAATTCTCAGATTACCAGACACTTCCAGGGGCATTGCGTCCTTTATAGTTTCGGGCTGTAAATTAAAAGCCAGTATAGTGCTACCGTTAACAAATGCGTCATAGGATAGCGTGTGGGCTTTATCGAAACCTAAAGCTTGTAGCGTCGTATAATATAATTTTGCGCAGTTGTGTGGAAAAGCGCAAGCAATATTAAATAAAGTAGTGCTATTCAGAGTTATAAATACACTCGTGAGCTGACAATTCTCAAAATATAACGGGCTCTGGGCATAGCCTCCTGACATTGCCTCCATATTTACGATAATCATATATAAACGCTCAGGAATTACAGTTCCCCAGGGCTGATCCATTGTAATTGTCCGCTGTCCTGT